GTGGGCCTAGCGCACCCCCAGTGGCTACCCACAGGAGGAGGTGGCGGCAGTGACTGGGCCGGCGGCCCGCACCTGGAACACGGCAAGGCGGGCGGCGGCAGCACCGGCCGAGCCGACGACGGCGGAGGAGGAGGTTTCCACGCTCGCCTAGTGCACCAGGGGGCGGCCCACGCGGGCGCGGCATGGGCGCAGGGTGGCACAGCGCACCACTTAGGCCCAGCCATGTCTCCGTCGCCCGGGGCCGGCGGGGGCCACCAGCCCCAGCCGCTCGGGCTGTACGCGCAGGCGGCCTACCCGGGGGGCGGCGGCGGCGGCCTGGCCGGGATGCTGGCGGCGGGTGGCGGTGGCGCGGGGCCGGGCCTGCACCACGCGCTGCACGAGGACGGCCACGAGGCTCAGCTGGAGCCGTCGCCGCCGCCGCATCTGGGCGCCCACGGACACGGACACGCACACGCGGGCGGCCTGCACGCAGCAGCGGCGCACCTGCACCCGGGCGCGGGCGGCGGCGGCTCGTCGGTGGGCGAGCACTCGGACGAGGATGCGCCCAGCTCAGACGACCTGGAGCAGTTTGCCAAGCAGTTCAAGCAGCGGCGCATCAAGCTGGGCTTTACGCAGGCCGACGTGGGGCTGGCGCTGGGCACGCTCTACGGTAACGTGTTCTCGCAGACCACCATCTGCCGCTTCGAGGCCCTGCAGCTGAGCTTCAAAAACATGTGCAAGCTTAAGCCGCTGCTCAACAAGTGGCTGGAGGAGACCGACTCGTCCAGCGGCAGCCCCACCAACCTGGACAAGATCGCGGCGCAGGGCCGCAAGCGCAAGAAGCGCACGTCCATCGAGGTGGGAGTGAAAGGCGCGCTCGAGAGCCACTTTCTCAAGTGCCCCAAGCCCTCGGCGCACGAGATCACGGGCCTAGCCGACAGCCTGCAGCTGGAGAAGGAGGTGGTGCGCGTCTGGTTCTGCAACCGGCGGCAGAAGGAGAAGCGCATGACCCCTGCGGCTGGCGCGGGCCACCCACCCATGGACGACGTTTACGCGCCTGGGGAGCTAGGGCCCGGTGGGGGCGGCGCGTCGCCGCCCTCGGCGCCCCCGCCGCCCCCGCCAGCCGCTCTGCACCACCATCACCACCACACACTGCCCGGCTCGGTGCAGTGACCCTGCGGGCTGGGCCCCCGCCGGCGTGTAACAGGGCGCGGGCGCGCAGCCCGCCCGCGCGGCATGGACTCTTTTTGTTCGGTTGCTTTGGATTTTACAAAAAGCCCAGAAACTTTCGAACAAAACCAAACATCCGGACGACCCTCTCCGGTGATTAGCGAAGACGGCCGGTAGGCTGCGTCGCCCAAGTCCCAGGAGAGAGGAGTGAAGATCCGGAACTCGCCAACTCACCCCGGGCATCCTGCCCGTCGCCTGCTCTCTGCCCCCATCCCCTCGACGACCCCCGCCCCTGCCCCTCGGGCTGTTCGGGGCCGGATCCCGGCAGCGGCCTCCCCACAGCGACAGGTAACGCAGTGCGAGGTGAGGGATTCCCCGGGAGAGGGGACGAAAAGAGGAGAGTTCCCCATCCCCTCTCCCCGCGCGGACTCCCGAGCCTGCGGGTCAGGGGTGGGGGGCTGACACTCTATTCGCTCCACGCCTCTTCTCTTCTCTAAGGATGCGCCCCACCCCTCCTTCCCCTTTCTCCGGGCTTGGTTTTATACGGTTTTTATTTATTCGTGGAGCCTCTCAGCTCCTGGGGTCCTTCTAACTCCGCCCGCGCCCTTAATTTAAATCGCTGTATACTGTATTTATCCGGGCCCTGGAGGGGAGGTCGCGAGAGCCACGTCTGTGTATAAAAGCAGGAAATAGCCAAAGCTTTAATCTAGCCTAATTTATTTTTGCCCTTATCTTCCCTTACCCTCCCCCCCAAGAAAGCAAAAAAGGAAAAAAAAAGTAACAAAAAAAACTCAAGTGTTCATTTTTCGTTTCGTTTCATCCGAGCCCGGGCTTGGTTCCCGGCCACTGCCGGAGGGGTCTGCGCTCCCACACACACCCAGAAGGGAAGGGGCTTCTGCCCCGCTGCAGACTGACCACCGCTCGGCGTGGCCCCTGTTCCCCGCGGGGCCCTGCCCTCCTGGCCATAACAAACGAAACTTGGAAAAGTTGGAGATATTTTTTAACCAGCTGTAGAAATAAGCCCTTCCCTGAGAACCTTCTGCCTGACTCCCTTCAGCTTTCCTCTGCTCCCTTTCCAGCCCCCACCCCCATCCCCGGGGTTATGGGATGCTGGGGGAGGCCGGGAGAAAAATTCCCCAAGTTTGGGGTGAGGTGGGAACCATGTAAATATGTGAGATATGTATACACTGGTGGGGAGAAGAAACATTTTGTGCTTGGTTTTTATTTTTGGTTTTTCGAGTTGCCCTTCTTCCCCTCCTAAAGGATTTTGTACACCGACTAATCCGAAAAAAAGATATTTTAATATGATTTCCGGATTTCTGACCCATCTATTTATTTTCTGGATGTGTTTGGAGCTTCCCCCCTTCTCCATTTCTTCTTCTGTTTGTTATGGTATGAATTTAAATTTTGTTATTTTATTTTTTATTATTTTTTGAAACAATGTTTTGGTGCATTCTCTTTGTATCTTTATTGCAAAAAAATAATAATAATGTAGACTGGGAAGTTCCCTTTATATTTATGTTATAGTAAATATTTTATTACTCACATAAACATGTACCCCAGGGCTGTGTCCTGTCCTCTTTACTGTTAGGGCCGAGTCGGTATTTGGGGGAAGTGATGGGATACCCTGCCTCACCTCCCTAAAGTTGTGGCCTCACTAGGAGAGATTTCAGAGGAAGGTGACCATGCAGACTTTGTTCCAAGCCAGCCAGTATCAGGACTTGGGCAACAGTTAGGGTTCTGCCTCAGGTGCATCAGTTTAGGAAAGATGAAGCTGCCTCATGTCCCCCCTCCCATAAACAGACTCTCCTGAGACCAGACCAGGGCCTGGGACAGTGAGCCACAGATACCACATGGAATTTGGGTCAACCATTCCTCAAGCACAACTCAACTGCTCTTCACCAAGGAAGAAACCGGTCTCGGCCTGGATCACCAGCCCAGAATAAAATCCCGTACCCGACTCCCTGATCCTCAACTTGGATTTCACTTTGCTCTTCATATGTGGGGTTCAGGCCAACTTCACCATTCCAGGTCCTGGGCCACTAGAAGCCTGGTCAGGCCTACCATCCTACCCCAGCTGGGTCTCCACTTACAAATGGTGCCCAAGGCCCCCCTGGGTCCACTGGGAGTTCTAGCAGCTTAGATAGAGGTCCATTTAGTGGTCCTGCATGAGCTGAGTCAGCCTGGGGAGAGAACCCTGCCAATTTGCTTGAGCAAAGCCAGTCCTGCTTCTCTGTGAACAAACTACCTGCCCTAACTTCTCTTGGGAAAAAGTAGGAGCAGGAATAATTGTGCCACCAGAAAGATTTGACATCTCCAGTCCAGGGACGGGTACCCAAGACCCCACCACCACCACAGAGAGTGCTGCACGTGCCTGTGGGTGGGTGGGAGGCAAAGCAGACGTTCCCAGATCTCCTCTCTCCAGCCAGCAGCAGCAGCA